GACACAGGTAAGAAGTCATAGTTAAGACAAAACCTTGGAAGTAGTCATTCATCCAAGGTGTATCGAGTGTCTACTGTGTGTCAAGCATGGCTTTAGGTGTTGAGGATGTACTGCTGAACCATGGAGAGAAGTGGTCCCTGGCCATGGGGCTTTTCTCTGATAGACTGTTACTGTCCGTGGTTATGACTCTGGAGAGTCACTATTTAGATCTCAGATTACCCCCCACCCCTTTTCTCGTGGACTTCCCTTGTCTAGAAATACTCATAAACCTAAGTTCACACTTATATTAATATTACCCCATATAATTTACATACTAATTATTCTAAAATTTAGTGGCATAAAACATGTATTTCCTCACAGTTTCCATGGGTCACAAATCTCAACAAGACTTAGCTGGTGCCTCTGACCCCAGGTCTTCGACAAGGCTGAAATCAGAGTATCCACTCTGTCCAGTCTTCTCAGGGCTCAGGTTGAGGCATGATCTGCCCAAACTCACACTAGTTGTTGGGCAGAGCTCCATTCCTTGTGGCTGATGGGCCCAGGGCCTTACTGGTTGTTGGCCTGTCAACCCCTCAGTTCTTGCAAACTCTCACAGATTTTCCTGGAGTGAGTGTGCCAGGAAAAAGGTGAGAGAGACATCAAGAGGAAATCACTCTAGAGTTGGAAACAACATTCCATTATTTCCGCAGATTACATTTGTTCAAAGTGTGCATTCACTGGGAAGTAGTTACACAAAAGTATGCAGTCAAAATATGCAAGTTGTCGGAAAAAAAAAAATAAAAAAAAAATAAAGAAAAAAAATATGCAAGTTGTCAAAGATACTCCATCTGCATTTGTAGAGAATGGCAACACAAAAGTAAAGTCTTCTGAAAATTCATCAATTTATATTTTTGTTTTGTGGTTTAAATTTAGTTTTTACTGTGGTAAAATATTTGCAGCATAAAATTTGTTGTATTAACCATTCAATAGTATTGACTTTTTATATAGTGTTGTACAACCATTACCATTATTCGTTCATAAAACTTTTCCATGACCCCAAATATAAAGGAGCCCACAGGAGCCCTGTTAGGCTAGTGATCAAAGTGCTTGGCAGTGAACCACAAGGTTAGGAGTTAGAATCCTCCAGCCACTCCACTGGAGAATAATGAGGAAATTTGCTTCTTGTAAAGACGTTTGCTTCTTGTGAAGACGTAAAGCCTTGGAAACACACTGAGCAGTCCAGAGCTGTCCTGTAGGGTGGGTGTGCCTGGATAGCTGTGAGTTAAACAGAAGACTGTATCCATTAAGCAGCACCTCCCCATTCCTCCCATCCCATGATAACTAGTAATCTCCTTTCTAACTGTATCAACTTGTCTGTTCTGGATATTTCATACAAGTGTAGCATGTTTTTAAAGGTCATAGATTAAATCCCCTTTTCTTTCTATTGCTGAATAATACTCCTTTGTACGTATAAAACACTTTTTTTTCTCCTTTCATCTATTGTTGAACACTTGGTTATTTCCATCTTTTGCCGTGTATTGTTGTACAGGGAGCATTTGTCCCTGTTTTCAGGTCTTTTGGATATATACCTAAGAGTGGAATTGTTGAGTCATGTGACTTTGAGGAGACATTAAATTGTTTTCTATAACGTGTACACCAATTTCAGTTCTCCCTTAGCTATGGAATTTTATGCTTTTCTGCAGGTGTAATGAGAGGTGACATAACCTGCCCTGTCCTGAGCCAGGCTCATTAATTCTGACATACCAACCCCCAGTGCCCCAGTCACTGTATCATCTGGGGTGTTCCTCTCCTACGCGTCCCTCTACCTTTTCAAGTATGATGTCCTTCTCCAAGGACTAGTCCCTCCTGGCCATGTGCCGAGAGTATTTGAGATGGAGCTTCAAAATCCAAGCCTCCAAGGAGAAACTTGGTTTCATCCTCTCCCGGACAGACCTCTTTGTTTTCTTGGCAGTCCATGATATGTTTAAGACTCTTCTCTGGCACCACAACTCAAAGGCATTGATTCTTCTTCTGTAATCCTTAGTCATTGTCCAGCTCTCTGAAGCAAATAATTGTGAAGACTGTGGTATGGATTAGGTGCACCTTAGTCTCTAGACTGACATCGTTGCTTTTCAGCACTCTGGAGAGGTCCCTGACAGCAAGTTTTCCCAATGCAATTCGTCTTTTGATTTCCTGACTGCTGGTGTTAAGAGTGTTGATGTTGTGATATGTACCTCCTGTCACTTTTATGCAATAAATAGATGAAACCATAAAAGCTATCATACCAAGTCAAATTGGTAGATAAATCTGCATTGTTTCACCAAAGCAAAGAAAACTTCAGATAGTTTTCCAAATATTTCTTTTCAAACTCTATCTAGGGGTGATATATGGTAATAGTATTTCAGGGCAGCAGGTGTCTGGCACATTTGGAAAACTCAGCTGGATAGTGGAATTGTGTGATAAGCTTTTTATTGACACAACATTTTCAGACATTCTACCACATTGTTGGCATTGGGCATGCATTCACAGACAGTACACATCAATGTTGTTATGTGCTCTAAAATCTCCTGTGCCTCGTAGTGACCCTGAGAACAGATCTGGACCGTGCCCTATCCTTGACCTGCCAGTGCCCACTGTTATTGTCACTGTCAGTGCTTCTTGTTGGGAGGTGTGAGGTGATCTTCCTTTCTTTGTCGTAGCCTCCACTTTTCCAGGCATGTCCTTTCTCAAGGACTATCCCCTCCTAACGATATGCCCAAGGTCTGTGAGACTCCATGTGACTGTGACTGTCCTTGCCTCTAAGGAGCGCCGTGGCTGCACTTCCTCCAAGATATACTTGTTTGTTCTTTTGGCGGTCCAGGAGGTAATCAGTATTCTTTGCCAACCGTACATAGAATACCAGTTTTCTGAAACCTTTCCCTAAACAATGTCATTTGGCTTAATCAGATTTTCATTTCCATAGTGGCAAGTGTTAGGAAAACTGGTTTGAGAAGAATGGTGTGATTTTAGGGTTCTAGATTCATTGTTTTGAGGCTCTACAGTAAAGGGTTTCGACAGTTGAAGACATGCCAGGTTTTCCGTGGGTAAAGAAGTTATCAAAATGTTGGAGTGTGAAATAGAAGATGTGAACGGACTTCCCAAAAACCCACAAGGAACCCACACTGTATTTGTACAACACAGAAATGTGGCCCCGTTTCATTTTCTTTTTCTGTAAAGTAGCACTTCTGACACATTGTCAGTACCTGGGTCAGAAAGTCTTTCCCACCTCCTTCTATGTACATAGTGCTCTTAGCTTGTCATTGAGAAAACCTGTTAGTCTGGAGAAGGAGTCCTGCCCCTCTTTACCTGCCATAGGTTTAATTGTACAGCATGCCTGCTGCTTTACTTCCATTGAAAGGCTCACTGCAATTTTGTGTTGAGAAGTCAGGGCTAAGCCTTGTACTAGGTCTTCCTCCTGTGGCATGTTTCAGGGAAGACACATCAGGTGTTTATTGAAGACTTGCATTTTACTGAAGGAGCTTTATCATTTATTCTCCACAAGGTAACCCGTAGGAGAAGTTCCCTTGGAATGGATTCCAGTTTTATAAGTTAAAATCTGCGGCTTTGAAAAGTTAAAGGACTTGCCAGAAGTAGCCAAATTATAATTATAAATAATTTTTTTCAGGTGTCATTCAGAATGCATGTTTTCTGAGGTCCCTGGATGATACATGTGGTTAGCACTTGGCTGAAAATGAAAATTTTGGCACTACAGACCCACCCCGTGGGACTGCAGAGCAGCCGGCCTGGCAGTCCGCTTTCTGTAATAGAGGAGGAAGCTGCCGGACCAGCTCTGCTCTGTAATACACAAGCCCTCCAGGATTGCAAACCCATATGAATAAGTCACATGACTTCCAAAGCAAAACATTGTGACCTGCCAGAAAAACGTACCTGACATTCCACATTTATGGTGCAGGTGCCCCGTATTATAGGTTCACATCTCTCAGATACAGATCCTACCAAGTCTTTTAGAGATCAGACACATCTGTTTTCGTTGTTGTTAGGTACCTTCGAGTTGGCTGTGACTCCTAGCGATCCTGTGAACAACTGCTCTGCCCTGCCCCATCCTTGACCGTCTTCTCCATCTCACAAGCCAAGCCCGTTGTTCTAAGTAGCTATAGTTCAAAGTAGTCACATGATTTCGAGGGAACAAGCTTATTTTAAACTGAGGGCTTCAGGGGATAGATTGCTGGAGGAAACTGGCTGAGCTGCCTTCAGCATGTAGGTAAGGCTGCCCGGGGAAGCTCTGCACTTTTTTGAAGGGCTATGAACAGGTTTGTGAAGGGAGCCTGGAAACTGCAGCTTAGCGATTATGAGCTTAGAGACTGGAAGATGCAGTCAGTATGTGTGATGATTGTGAACTTCTTACACCATCACCCCCCCATCCCACTCCCATTCCCAACTTTTCCTTGTGTTTTGGATAAAAGTTTACAGAGGGAATTGGTTTTCCACCCAACATTTCATGCACATTTTGCTTTGTTATGTTGGTTACAGCTCCCACAGTGTAGCCGTCTTCTTTCCACTTAGTGTTTTGTTTCCCTTCATCTGTTCCTGTCCCTTCAGCCTTCTCAGCTGTAATGCATGCTGCTGCCCTTGTGATTTCGTATGATTGACTGATGAAGAGTGTTACCTGCCCAGCGTGACTGCTTATTTTATAGGCCGCTCTCTAATTTGGGAGAAAGATAAATCAGTCTGTTTCTGTAAAGATTACAGTCTTGGAAAATCTACAGGGTAGTTCTACTTTGTCTCACAGGGTTCTGTGAGTTGGAATCTACTAGATGGCATATAAGGGATTGTTTGGTTTGGTTTGTCCTTGGTTGGCTGAAAGTGAATTCAGGTTCAGGCTTGAAGGTTGTCTAGGGGCCATGATGGAGAGTGGAAGAAGTAGTGGGCGCTGCCTGAGTTCTTTGAATGAATCATGGAATATTACTTTAAAACTCTTGGTAGTGCTTGTTCTTAAAAGGCATGTAATATTTAAACTTTTTTTCCCTTTTTAGCTTACAGCTGAGAATGAGTCTGCTTATGATTGTTGAGAATGTAAAATTGGCACGAGAATACGCATTGCTGGGAAACTATGACTCTGCTGTGGTCTATTATCAGGGAGTTCTTGATCAAATGAGCAAGTATCTTTTCTCAGTCAAAGACACATACCTTCAGCAGAAGTGGCAGCAGGTGAGAATCATGTCTATTGTGTATCTATAACCATCTAAGTACTCAGCATTTGAATAGATTGTCAGTGCTTATTGCAGTTATGCATTAAGACTGTGTAATTACATACATTTTTACATAATGTTGCATGAAACATAGTAATTGTATCAGTAATAGTCAAATTCATATAATCCATTCTCAATTAGTCTCAGATACTGAAATTTTTTTATAGATCAGATTTTTACATGATCAAATTAGAGTTGATATATTAAGTTATTGTTGAAATGGCAAACAGCATTTGCATCTCACTGGTACCATATTCCCTACAGAGTGTTATACAGCAGACCATACTTGAATCCATCTGAGGACTAGAAGAGATTTATAAGCAGAAATTAGAGATTAATTGGTCTAGTTGAAGGTGCCATGGATAGCAAGTGTCTGTTACAACATTCGAGGAAAGAAATTATCCTGAAACAAGAAATAATCCTTTGAGAGCTAAGTAGATTGTTAACTCTCAGATTTCTTCTGAGCATTTTTTATTTGTTTGAATGTATTGTTTCTTTAAAAGAAACTTTAAAGTTTCTTAAGTTAAAAAAAAGGTCTTTAAGTTTACTCTTCCTTATTCCTTTCATTACTGGAAGATTTTCTCAAGAAGTTTTGAGTTTGTCACTTTTAAGACTTAAAATCTTTGAAATCAGAAACTTTTATTTAAAAAGTGTTATAAATACTTAAAATTATTTAAAATAAAAGTAAATCGGCAAGCTCTGGTGGCCTACTGGCAAGAAGCTGCACTGCAATCTCAGAGGTACATGGTTCGAAGCCACCAGATGCTCTGCTGGAGAAGGAGGAACAATCTCCTCCTGTATCAGTCAGATCTGATTTGATGGTACACACACAAAAAATAATGAAATAAAATAAAATTTTAAAAAA